TATATATATATATATAGATAATGTATGTACGTATGCATGTTTGTCACTACTAGAAAACTGGTGCAATAGCTACAACACAATCCGTAGCTATTCCGTAGCTATAAGCGGATAGCTACGGAAAAATGTATGTAGCATAATGGCTCGTGGCTAAATTATAGCTACAGATTAGCTACGGAATCACTACGGAATAGCTACAAAATTTTCCGTAACTACCATAGCTACGAAATAGCTACGGAAATAAATAGCTACCGATTTCCTACAGAATAGCTACGGAAATGGATAGCTACGGAATATGTAACGACCCAAAAATCAAGGGTAAAAATTTCATTTTTAATATAGCTAAAACATTGATACCATTTATTTCAAACATTTCAAGACATCATTAAGTAAAACATTTATCAGAGTTCATCCCAAAATCATTCATTGCGGAAATCATAGGTGTGTGCATTGCGATCAATCCGAACTCTTCATTTCCAAATCGATGATACTTGAAACCAAAACTGTAAACCGTAAGCACAAAGCTTAGTGAGTCCCCCAGAGCATACCCCACACACAATACACATTATAATGACCGACCTTCGAGCCATAGTGTGTGTATGGGTATATGAGTATTTTGGTCGTATGTATACGTAGATGTGTTGCTAATAGTCTTGATCACACTTTTTCTAGGTGTGGGGTGCCTAACAAGCATGAAGCAACGTTCACGGCGTAAACATGCAAAACCGCCCCTTTTGTTTCATTTGACCAAACTACATGCAAAAGTAGTTTACCACCCGCACCTAATTTCTAAGCAACATTATTTTTTTATTTTACATGCGAACATAAGTCTTTTAATTAAGTACGACCTTTATTTAAATTGTAAAGGCAAAAAATTAGACAAAGTGTTTTATATGATTATTACTTGAATATAAAAATATAAGCGAGTATATAGCATTTATAAACAAAATGATATTGATTTTTTAAGTTTATTTATTATTTAATTAATTTTACTTCTAGGATAAAGAACCATCCACAAATGACCACGTTACCCCCTGCAGTTTTCCATATTTGTATTTTCTTATTACAAAACTTATAGACTTTCTATATTAGGCGACGTAGGTCACCACCCACACACAACACACACCATCATAAACACACACTCACACACTCTTCATCTCCATGCATTCTAGAACTCTCATCGACACACAAATTCTCTCTAAACAATAAACTCTTCTTCCACACTTGATCTCTTAGCGAGTTTCTTATCGGCGGAGTGACGGTGGTTTTAGTTTGGTTGCAGGGGAAGCATGCCTCGTGTAGTGGCGGAGAATGAAGTGGATAGCATGGCGGCGTTTTACCAAAGAGGACAGGTGGCTGCCTCTCCGTCTCTCGGAGAGCTTCTTAAGTTCGTCGGAGACATAAGGAAGGAGGCGAACGGTGATGAGACTCCGGCGCATCGTGTTTTGGAGATGAGCGAAACCAGCAACGAGCCTAGATCGTTGCCGTTTGTTTTGAAGTTCAATAATCTAACTTACAGTGTGAAAGTTCGGAGAAAGATGGCGGTTCCTTCTCTGTTTGGTCGCCGGGAGAGGCTTGGTGATTCTTCTGTTGGAAGTGAGCATCTGTTTTCCAGAAGCAAGGTTCTGTTGAATGATATCTCCGGTGAAGCGAGGGACGGCGAGTTAGTGGCGGTGTTAGGTGCGAGTGGATCTGGAAAATCAACTTTGATCGATGCTCTGGCGAATCGGATCGCGAAAGGAAGCTTGAAAGGAACTGTAACGTTGAACGGCGAGCAATTGGAATCTCGATTACTTAAGGTGATTTCAGCTTATGTGATGCAGGACGATCTGTTGTTTCCAATGTTAACAGTCGAGGAAACTCTCATGTTCGCCGCCGAGTTCCGTCTTCCTCGAACATTCTCCAAATCGAAGAAGAAGCTTAGAGTTCAAGCCTTAATTGACCAATTAGGGCTCCGAAACGCTGCTAAAACAGTCATCGGTGATGAAGGACACAGAGGTGTTTCAGGTGGAGAACGCCGCCGTGTCTCGATCGGAATCGACATCATTCACGATCCGATTATTTTGTTTCTGGATGAACCGACGTCAGGGCTTGATTCAACCAGTGCTTACATGGTCGTCAAAGTTTTACAACGGATTGCACAAAGCGGCAGCATCGTGATGATGTCCGTACACCAGCCGAGCTACCGTCTTCTTGGATTACTCGACCGCCTACTGTTTCTGTCCCGGGGACAGCCCGTCTACAACGGATCTCCGGCGGAACTTCCGTTATTCTTCTCTGATTTCGGACGTCCGATTCCAGATAAGGAGAATCGGACGGAATTTGCGCTTGATTTGATCAGAGAACTGGAAGGGACTCCCGGAGGAACCAAAAGGCTGGTGGAATTCAACAAAACCTGGCTAAACCGGAAGCAAAATCTCAACGGAAACGAAACCCCAACCCATGGATTAACTCTCAAAGAAGCAATTAGTGCAAGCATATCCAGAGGCAAACTAGTCTCCGGCGCCGGCGCCAACAACGGGACTAATCCGACTGCTATGGTCCCAACATTTGCTAATCCAATGTGGATGGAAATGGCGGTTTTATCAAAACGATCCTTTACAAATTCACGAAGAATGCCTGAGCTATTCGGAATCCGATTAGCTGCGGTGACAATCACCGGTTTCATACTCGCCACGGTGTTCTGGAACCTCGATAATTCCCCAAGAGGTGTTCAGGAACGATTAGGGTTCTTCGCATTCGCCATGTCCACAACCTTCTACACCTGCGCCGACGCCTTACCGGTCTTCCTCCAAGAACGCTACATTTTCATGAGAGAAACCGCCTACAACGCTTACCGGCGATCTTCATACGTACTATCTCACTCACTCGTTTCAATCCCATCACTCATCTTCCTCTCACTCGCATTCGCCGCCATTACTTTTTGGGCGGTGGGACTCGCCGGAGGTGTTTCAGGTTTCATCTTTTACTTCTTTGTGATACTAGCATCCTTCTGGGCAGGAAGCTCATTCGTTACATTTCTCTCCGGCGTCGTTCCTCAAGTGATGCTCGGTTACACCATTGTCGTCGCGATTCTAGCTTACTTCCTTCTATTTAGTGGATTCTTCATCACTCGTGATCGAATCCCAGGTTACTGGATATGGTTTCACTACCTTTCTCTTGTCAAGTACCCTTACGAAGCTGTTCTACAGAATGAATTCGATGACCCTATCAAATGCTTCATCCGAGGAACTCAGATCTTCGACAACAGCCCACTCGCCGCCGTGGATAACACCGTGAAAGCAAAACTATTGCAAAGCATGAGCGGATCACTCGGCATCAATATCAGCAGCAGCACTTGCCTGACCACCGGCGTCGATATATTGAAGCAACAAGGGATCACCGACCTGAGCAAATGGGGTTGCTTGTGGGTAACAGTCGCATGGGGGTTCTTCTTCAGGGTTCTGTTCTATTTATGCTTATTGGTGGGAAGCAAAAACAAGAGGAGGTAAAGTGTCAAAGTTTGAATCTTGGTGTAATAATGTGTGACTATTTTACTTTTCTCTTTGGCATGAAGAAGGGAAAAGGTTTTATTTTTGATTTTTTTTCAAGTAATTTGTTTCTTTTTTCTAATGAATTACCCCTACTTTGCCGAGGGTAATCTCTTTAAATATATTGTCATAAATTTGTTGTTTTAATAGACAAAGTCTGAATAATATTATATGATAAATCTCTTTTCGATCGTATAACCCATGCCCCTAAATAAACATGTAACAAGTAATAGGGGTGAGCGCGGTGCGGTTCGGTGCGGTTATTAGTCAAAACATCACCACTAACCGTAAATGCGGTTAATCCATTTTCATAACCGCTTGGTGCGGTTATTTTTGCGGTGCGGTTAGGCGGTTATTTTTGTGGTGTGGTTTTATTTTTTCCGTGTTGCGGTTATTAACCACATGAATTTGGTGCAGTTATTTTGTGTGGTTTTTAACCACAGTTTGGAGCTCAAACAGTTTTAAGAGTTCAAACATATTACTTGTAATAATAATAAAAAACCATAAGATATAAGACAATTAACTTAAATTACAAACAACTAATATCTTAAAAACGTCAAATCAATAGTAATTAACAAGAAATATCTTAAAATTATCTAACATCACCATTTTTCAAAGTTAAACATAACAAAAAATCAATACTTTTGTCTTCTCGTATTTTATCCATCTTTCATCCATGAAAGTTGTCTTATTTTTAATATTTAATATATTAATAATTAATTAAAAAAATTGTATATACTATATGCGGTGCGGTGCGGTGTTTTTGCGGTTTTTGAAAACTAATAACCGCACCGCACCGCAAATTTGCGGTTTTTGAAAAACAGAAAACATCATCATCAGTTTTTATTGCGGTTGCGGTTTATGCGGTTTTTGCGGTTAATTTTAGTTGCGGTGTGGTTTTTGCTACCCTAACAAGTAACATGCATATATAAGTATATAACACAACTTTATGATTGTCAAGATGAAATTAGCGTTGAAAAATATGCCCCTCTATTTTTTTGTGAGCCCCAAGCACACGAAAAAAAAGAGCTTATTAATTCCAAGAACAATCACAAATACAGTCAGACCTTTTATAAAGGTGGATCAAAATTTGATGGGTATTTTCAAATTTTCAAAAGTTAAAATTGATGGAAATTATAGAAATTAAATGGCTAATAATTATATGATTCAAAGGAATCATAAAATCACGAAATAAAACATATTAATTTAAAATGAAAATAAGCCAAAATTTGAGGAAATTCGAAATAAGAGTTAAATCTAGGGGATGAGATCTGGAATTGGACCGAACCGGTCCAGAACCAAAACTGAAAAACGGGATTTCAATGAATCTAGAACACAAAAGCATATAATAATACAGTTCCGATTCAGTTCCAACACCAAATATTGGTTTTCATGTGCATAACCGACCAGAACCGAACACCCACCTCACCTCTCTCACACACACACATATTCTTTGTGGTTTCCTTTCTTTTATTAATTCGTATCCACACAAAGAAATGCAAAAATAGTTAAGGTTGCGTTTAGTTACAGAAAAACAGTTTTCATTTTCCGTTTTTCGTTTTCCCTTTTTGGTTTTCGTTTTTCGTTTGTCATTGGAAAATTTAGAAAACACGTTTAAGTAAAACTTATTCATTTTTCATTTCCAATTTTAGAAAATTAGAAAACGTGTTTAGATATGTATTTTTCTACCGGTTTTCATAATTAGAAATTGGTAGCAGTGGTAGGGTGAGGGTGGGGGCGGGGGCGGGGGGCGGTTGTGGTGGTGGCGGCGGCAATTGTGGCAGTGGTGGTG